AAAAGTTTTGCTTCGGAATTGGGCATTCCGCAGAAATGCCCTACGAAACAGGCGGCACAGATGAGTTCTTGGTCCGGAGCTTCTGAATCCAGAAAAGCAGCAGTGATTTAGACCCTGCCAGATAAAGCCAGAAAAACTTCTGTTTCGGGATTAATGAATGTGGAGAAATAATAATCAAGAACTGCTATGTTTACTAATGTGGCCCAAACCCAAAATATAGTCAATTCACAGAAATACGACCAGTTAAAAATTATTTAGTTAGGTGTTTTTTAGTTGGCAATTTCAGTTCATTTTTCGAAGTATAAAGAATCATTTTTTAAAATATTTTGATTATGAATACACGCGGATTTGATACAGCGCTGGGCACTGTTGAAAACAGTTCCCTGAATCAGTCGCAACCGAGTCGCTGACTGACTTTTTAGCTGCTTGACTGGATGATCGATCGAATTACTGTCTTTTACTAAGTAGTTTAAATAACACGAATTTAGTAGCTTAAATAACACGAATTTACTGATTATACGAATAGAAGCGAAACTGTGTGATTGGACGTATTGGATGAGGGAAAGTAGGTTTCAGGTGAAGGTGACGGATTTCGGACTAACTCGAAAAGTGGGCTCAGCGGTGCGCTATTTGGAATATGTTAACCATTATCATGCACCGGAGTTATGCGAAACGGTTGTTAATGAAACACTGATTGTTGACCGGTCAATTGACGTTTGGTCTATAGGTATGTTGATCGGAAACTTTTTAATTTTACTGCCACTTTGGGAGTGAACTAGTACTTTTTTGAAAAACGCTTCTTTGCAACGTCTTCTCTGCAGCATTTGCTGTTTTAAAATTAAGTTCAGTCAACGCCAAAACCCTAGAATATTTAGCCAGAAAATTCACAGATGCGAGGGATTCCGAGCTTTGTGCCTGGACTAAATTCCGAAACCCTAGACTGCAATATTGGGAGCGCACTTCCTTTGTGCAGACACTTCATTTGCGAAAATTTCGGACAGCTTCAAATTTCGCTTCTTCTTAACTTATAATTTTAAATAACACAAGCAGTTCTCTGAAGAACTTGATCGGCCCTACTGAACAGCAGAAATGAATGAACTGTGAGTCCGGCAGATACATAAATAAATCGTTTGACGCTTATTTACAAGGGCTTATTTCAGGAATCTTGATTTACTATTGTCTCAAAGGACGTTTCCCGTGGCAAAAGGCTACAATAATGTGCAAGCCATACTGGGAATGGGAACAATGGCTGAAGAGAAAAAATTTGCAATTGCCCAAACGTTGGGACAGTTTCAGTGAAAAATCTCTGAAACTATTTAGGAGAACACTTGAACCGAGGTAAGGGCAATCTTTAATTTGTTTAAGCAACAATCAGAAGTCACGGCACAAGCTAATTTGAAAGCACAAAAAAGGAACCGCGCCACAGTGACTTACAGTAGCTGAAATTTTTGACGGTTTTGCCAGCGGGGAAAGAAAAACTGACATTTTAACAAGGAAAGAAAGAAAGAAAAACTGACAAAAACTGACATAAAACTGGAATATTTCCACTTCGATAATTTGATCAGCTGTTGTTCCATTATTACGTTCCTTCCCACCACTGATGCAGCTAGTAACTTTTCCATTCTCCTCTATTTTGAGTATCTTTCATTCACATAATTCCATGCAGCCGTTTAAGCAGGTCTTCCGGACCCTGAAATTAAAAGGCATTGATATGCTACTCCTCGCTGGTGGAAAGCGAAGTGGTAGGACAGCTTTCACTTTCAGTCTAATTGCACAGCACAGCGCTTTCCCCGAACTATTTGACAGTAGTCACTCCCCTCACATATCTAAGCTGATAATCGTGCATTCCTTAACACATTTAAGCCTGTTTTCGTAAACTAAGGTTGAGGTGCTGCAAAATGTCGAGTGCAGAAAAAGTGAAAGTCCGTTTTCTTCAGGTACAAAGATCGATGGGGAGTGAAAAATATATCGAAATGTTTAACAAAGGAGAAATTACTGAAGGCGTCAAAGGTAACCGAGGAAGTGTGACTCATTTGCTTCAGCACTCTGATTTTCGCACCTGCGTACTTATCCATACAATGCTTATTGCTTGTTCTATGTTTTTCTTTGTAACAAATACTACTGCTTATTTCTGCGAAAAACTGAGGAAGTCCGGAAAATGGATGCACTCGAAAACCAAAATATGAGAGGGGAATGACAATACTGAGAAAAGCTTGTGCAGTGCAATTTTTTGCTGGTATGTATGGATGCATAGTTCATTTGTCCTCCTTCCTTACGTCATTCCACATATTAACATTCTACAACATGCAAGAAAATTAGATGAAAATCATGGAAGCACTGTTAATCGGTTGAAAAGTTTTATTTCCGGGAGTAATTAATGGTGCTTTTCCGCCACCAAGCCGCACTGTTGGCTGCCGTTGGGAATAGCTGCCATTTCAGCTTCGTAAGTTTGATTTTTATGCGTTTTTTGCAGCAATGCAATGCGAAAAACGCATATTGACGAGAGGATGTCTGTGTGT